TGCGTAAAAGCCCAGCTGGACTCTGGGCTAGTCTTTGAAATACGCCGTAATCTTATTACCTTTATCAATTCAATCCTCTTAAGGTTAAGTCAATCCTATTAATCAGGCTTGTGATGTGGAGAACCTTATTATTTCAAAGTCAATCTGCCCATCAGTCAGTTATGATATTGGGAACAATCAGCGCCAGCCCAGAGGGGTGCGTGACCCAAGCGGCGTGTGCAGGGCCGTGGGGTCCATCAGCTCTGTGACACTCCACGTGCTCCAGCTGTGGACGCATCCCTGCGAGGCTGGGGCTGGAGGACCTTCCCCAGGATAGTGAGGTGCAAAATCCTTCCTGGGTATGGACAGGATACGTCCTGCAAGACTCGTGTTGCTTGTTGGCTCCCTTTGCCTAGGAAACACTCCTGCTCTCGCCGCAGCCCTGCCAGGCTCCCGGCTGGCTCCATCTTTCTGCCTCCTTGGGCTCAGGAGCTGGAGGGGGAAGGCGTTGCCCAGTGACACCCCCCGGGCACAGGGACCGGCACCTTTGAACCCCTTCGGGACTGGGATACTTGATGTAGACAGACCCCTTGCCAGGGTGGGGTGGGCAAGTGCAAGCGTTGCAAGTTTCAAGCAGTGCGGGGTGCTCGGTCCTGCCGGCGCGGCGGGGAGTGCAGGCCTGGGGGGTGCTGGTGCTCTGGGCAGGCAGGGCTGTCAGCTATTAATCAGATTTTTGACTGAATTAGCTGTCTGCTCCAGCTTTGTCCCCCGTGAAGAAGCTTTTTCTTCCCATTTTTTGTGTTTGAGCAATGCAATTAGTCTGCTTCCGTGGCCCTATTGACATGAGCAATGAAGGATTGGTTTTTTGAGCAGGTGTTGGTTTTTCTCTTGGTGGGCTTCACTTTTCAATGAGCCTTTTCCAACTCAGGCCACCCCCAGGGCAGCTGGGCCCTGGGCCGGCGCTGATGTGGATGCTGGCTGACACGAGGCAGCAGCTTCAGCGGGCCACCTGCGGGGACCTCACGCGGAGCGGCGCAGGGCTGCAGCACGCTCGTTTCCAGGGCATCACCCCTATTTCCATATTCTCCTTCCAGCTTCCCCAGGCAAAGGTTTGGGGGATCCGCCATGGCAGTGTGAAGCAGCCCTGCTGCAAGGTGACTGATTTAGTCAGACGTCCGGAATTGGTGCATGCGTGAGGGACGAGGCAGGGGTTAGGAGACGTTGCCTCACCCACAAGAAGATGCTGTTTGGTTGTGGTTTGAGGCGGGAGGATGAATTCACCCAGGTGGGGCAGGGGAAGCAGCATCTGAAGCTCACCGGATGAAGACCGAGGGGAAATGGAAATGTTTTTAGGCTACGCTACAGGTAAATCGGGATGGAGACACTTGAGGGACAGAGCGATGCGCAGGGAGCAAATCCAGGCTCAGGCCAGCGTTGCTGGCTGCCCTGTGCAGGCAGAGCAGGCGCTGGGGGGGCCCGTGAGCCCTGCGGTGGTGCTGAGGACTCTGCCTGCTGCGGGGACCAGCCTGCCACGCCGGCAGTGAAGCTCCTGCGTGTGTTTCTAGAGGACTGGAGGAGCTGCCTTAGAAGAGCACAGCCTGCTGTGGGCTCATGCTTGGTTTATTTGAAAAGTACTGGAAACCAGTGCAGCCTTGTGTTGTCATGCTCTGAATTTATTTATGAATTGCTCTTTATCCGCATATGTGCAGTGACTGAAGTTGCACAGGTTCAGCTGTGTCCAGTCTGAAGCAAATGTCCTTAAAATAAACACAGGAGCAAGCCTGAAGAACGTTGCCACAGCCCTTAATTTTTACTGTAGACCTTTTCCTTCCCCTCTCGACTCCGATGTAATGAAATAAAGCATCTTATTTTCTTCCATTGCCAGGGGCCCTAAGTGAAAACAACCCCCTGCTGATCTCTGCTGCTCAGAAACAGGGAGTTTTATTGGCTTTAGTTATTGCATTTTATTCAGAACCTTGTATGTGGGTGAGTGAGGCCCCCGGAGGGATTTGACAAGTATTTGCATTCCATTTGTGTCTTCCGAGTGCTGGCTGCTGGCGTACTTAAGGCAGAGATACCAGACGTGTGATCAGAGCTGATGTGGCTTTTTTGTGCGGAGGGAAGGCAAGATCTGGAAGATGGCCCTGGGACAGAAATTGCAGATGTCATGGGAACTGACCCACGGACGTGGTTCCTTTCCCGCAGCTAGCAGAGCCCCGCTGGGCTGTCGAGAGCGATCTCTGCGGAGGAAGTCGCTCGGGGACGCTGGCTGTGGGTCTTTTGATCCCTGACATATCTTAGGCCTGGTCCATACAGCCCGGCGAGATGCCTCCTGCAGCCTAGGGAGGCTGGACCTGCTGGGGACCGTGAGAAGCCCTGGTCTGGGGGATGCTGTTGGGTATCCTGGCTCTCGCCTCCATCCGCTGATCAGTTACAAGGCCAGATTCTGCCACATCACGCCCCAGCTTTGGTGCTGCACCGTAATGGAGCTCTTTGGGATTTCAGCAGCTTTCCTTTCCACTTCGGAGTCAAGGGGTCGTTTTCTCAGCTGTTGAGCTGCAGGTGCTCTGTAGGGGATAACAACCGCAGCAGAGGTTTCAGGGGGCTCTTTTCCGGCTTTGTGTTGAGTCCCACAGTGGAATTTTGCCTCATTTTAAATTCTAGTGAATTTTGTAGATTGGCTAAAATCAACAAAATTCACATTATCGCTGGCTAAAACTTGGCCCCTGGGTTTCCAGCGCTCGGCAGCCCTGGCTTGCAGTTGGGTTGTGCGTTGCACCTTGGCCCCGCATCCAGCAGCAGCCAGTACTCAGCCGACGAGGGGGGATAAAGCAAACACTTGGCTAAGAGAAGCTGTAAAACTCAGTGTTCCTGAGATAATTAGTATGTTGGGAAAGTGACAGGAAAGAGAATCAAGCAAAGCCAAGGTCAGCGGCTGCTAATTAAGAATCGGCACCTTGTGTCAGCCTGAGCTGTGGCTTGGAATTGAAACGTACCCTGGGAGAGACCCAGGAAGATAAAGGTGATAGAGTTACCCAGATAGCAGCTAACAGGATTTGAGCAGGGGTTTAAAGTTTCATTCCAGCTTGGCTGATAAAAGGGGCGAAATGAGAGAAAATAGCGGGGGGAGGCACGTGCTTTGCTTCCAGGAGGGATTTTTGCCTGTGCAGCTGCTAGAGCATTGCAGATGTAGCAGGATCTGAGGAAGGGGATCTTCTGGCTAAAGAAATAATGGAAGTGACTTTTTTGTTTTCCAAAGCTCCTCCTCTGGCTTTTCTAGAGGCGCTTTTGGGAAGGTCACGGCAGCGTGTTGGTCCCAGTCACAGTCCTGTGGGAAGGTGGGAGAGATCGGGCCGTTGGGTGCTGCAGAGATGCCAGCCTTCCTCCCCTCCTTCCCTGTTCTCAGATGGGAGACATACCTGCCTGCTGCCTGGATTTTCCTTTGTCTGGGACAGAAGCACAGTAATGAAGGGCCTGTAGATTAAATGATTTGGGTCCGTTGGGTTCAGGTGGAGCTGTTTGTTGAACCTTGATTAAACTTTCAGTGCAGAGATGTCCCTGTGAAAAATGAAATGGAGCTAAGTGCCTCTTTTGCAAATCTCCTGGGCAGCCGCTGGCAGGGAATGGGACCTGAGTGTCCCCTTCCCTAAGTCTGGGTTGGAGCAGGCTGGGTTGTGGCCACAGTGTTTCGGGGGGGCTCTGGGAGCTGTGCTTTGCTTGCAGACGGCAAGGACAGGACCTCGGTCTCTGCACGGCAGCTCTGGGGTGCTCCTGCTGCCCCTGCCAGGAACGGGTTACATCTGGTACAGTCATGACAAATGAAGGAGAATTTCTTAGTGAGAGGTTATTACTGAGCAGATTATTTTGTTTTAGAGGAAGGCAGTTTAAAAAAGGTGCCCTTGGTTGTAGAAGTGAATTTGTATGTCAACATTTCTCTGTCTCCTGCATGGGGAAACCATAAGAGGTTTAATGCATGTGATTTACACGGTGCCAGCAGCCAGTTTCCCTTTGTCATCCAGGGTCCAGGTGAGGGGTGCTGGGTGGGAGGAGGTCAACCCTTTCAGCACCCAGCGCGGCGAGGAGCTGGGCAGGGGCCCAGAACTGCTTTTCCCTTTAGCAGTGCAGAGAACAGAAGCTGAATATTTATTAGCATTAAAAACTGCATGGCATTTCTCCTGCATTAACGCTAGCTACAGCACACTAAATATTACACCACGTAGTGGATTTTCAGCAGAATGCATGGGGAGCTACGTGACCCTCTCTGATCAGTTAACGCTGTTGCTGAAGCAGACATGGAGCTCGGTCTGAAGCGCTGTTTTTTCCTTTTAGAATTTGCAATTCAGTAGCCTGGGCTGATGCACGGTGCAGCTGTCAGCATGCGGTCTGTTCCTGCTCACCCCATCCATTGCTCTGAAGCACAGAGGATTATAAAATTGCATGGTATTTGGTCGTGTGCACATCAGACCAAAAATGTGCCCAAAATGTGTGCTGTAGCAGTGCTATTTATTTCTGTGAATACTAAGGAAAGGAAATAGGACATTTAAGCATCTTGATGCGTATTACAGGCTTGATTCTCAGCCATTAAGTGTGGGGCACAGCTCATGACATCTAAGTATGCCCCTGTTTTGCAGCCAGTGCAGTTAGACACTAAATGCAGCCACATTTAGCAGTGAAGAACATGTTTCACCCACAAAATGTGAGGCTGATATGAGACGCAGCCAAAAACCAGCACTGATGGAGAGGCAAATGTGGTGCAGGTCTGGAATGAATCATTTTTTTGGGGTGCAAAAGTTGTGACTCTCCAGAGATTTATTTCTCCTCTTGTCTCTGTGAGGTTGGAGAAACAGGAGGGAAGTCGGGCTGGTAGTAACGCAGCGTGCACACACAGGATCACCTGCAGCACCTCCACTCCCTCTTGTGTCTTACGAAGGTGAGACCTCTCTGGAGAAGGGGAGGCTGCTGCTCTGCTCAACAAAGTGTATGTCAGTGCGTGGTGACCCACCATGGGCTTTGCTTTCCAGGATTTCTTGACTGACCTGATGATGTCTGAAGTTGATCGCTGTGGTGAGAATGAGCATCTCATTTTCAGGGAGAATACACTGGCCACCAAAGCAATCGAAGAGTACCTGAAGCTGGTGGGGCAGAAATACTTGCAAGATGCCTTAGGTATGTACAGAGCGTTGGCGAGTGTCGCCCAGAGAGGTCCTCCTCTAAGCTGCAGGGTGCTCTGCGTGGTGGAAACCATCAGCTCAGCCCTGATGGTTGTCAGAGGCACCAGCATTTACCTGCTGGAGGGTTTCTCTGGCAGTGGGGTCCGAGTCCGGGGCACAGCTGTGGCCGCAGCGGGCGGCTCTCTGCTCCCAGGTGAAGGTCACTGCTGAGTTAGCGCTTTAATCTGCTTTCAGAGGAGATAACAAATTGATATTTGAAGGCATTATGCTGCCTGCCAAGTCTTCTGTCTCAGCACTGGCAGTGTCACAGCGGCTGATTGAATCCTTTGCCTGATTGCACGCCCCCACCAGAGACGCTCCCCCAGTTCCTCGCAGCGCTAGTGAGTCAGATGAAATCTCCCAACTTACAGTGATGAGAGTTGCCTCCCAGATCACGCTGGGAACCCTCCTGGTGGTTTTTTTAAGTGCTGGCTATGTTTATGGCTCCAAAAATATTTCTCTTGATGCAAATGAAAATAATTAGAGCTTCTGCTTCTGGGCAGGTCAGGAAGGAATTTCTGTGTTGCTGTGTGCAGCCAGCACAGCACGAGGATGGGGAGAGGCTGCCTTTGAAGCACTATGTCTGATCCTCAGCTGAAGGCAGCTAGATTGGATCCACATCCTAGCAGTAGGATGAGCAGAGTTTTATTGAGGTGTTAATTTTTCAGTATGTTGGGTTCCTACTAGTGGATTTGTGTAATTTTAGCAAGGTGCAAAGAAGCGTAAATACTTTATTAAGATAATAGTAATAATGACAATGTCGAGGAAGGAGAGATCGTTGAGCAAATTCAGTCAAACCAACAGATAGCCCACAAGAATGGGAAAAGGAATATGATTTATTTCTGCCTTGTAATGCCTTCTGGTTGAAGGCAAGTCTGTAAGTAGATTACCTCATAAAATTTCTAAAAAGCCAGGAGATTAATGAGGGCAGAGAATTTTGAAATATTCCCCTTTCAGGGCTCAGTGCAAATGCTGCCAAGCCAGCTCCATCTAGTACGGGAGGAGCCTGCAGTTCTTGCTCGCTGTTCGGGGCGCTGATTTTGTGTAGACCTTTTATCAGTGAAATGATTCATCTGTATGTCACAAGGTAACACAATACAGCATAGCGCTTTCCTTTAAACCATGAAGCACAAGCAAGTAATAGGGCCAGATAATAACAGCAGGCATCACCTGCAGGCGAGCAGAGAGGCTCCAGAACTCCCTGGCAGAGCCGAAAATACATTGGAGAGGCTCTCCAGTACGTAATTAAAATCTGTTTTGGCAATAGGGGAGGAATGCAGACTAGAGTGGGCAAAAACCAGGAGGATGGGAAAACCCAAGAAGGTCAGGAATTAGGAGATGAGCAAACCAACAGGAATTAGAAGAAAACCAAAGCAAACCTTTCTCCCAGAACGTCACCCCGCCCTGCAGGTCCTTAGCTAAACACTACCTCTTAATCCCTGTTATCCTGTCCCCTGCTCTCCCCAGCCACTGCTGTGTGCTAACTGGGATGGACACCGCCATCCCCCGGAGCTGGGCACCTGCCGAAGCGGTGGGAAGCACCCTCAGCCAGGGTGGCAGGGGTCTGTGCCCGGGTACCCCAGCGTGAAAGGTGACATGAGAGAGAGTTGCTGGCAAAGGAGACCCACAGTGTGAGTCTCCGCAAGGGTGAGGAGCAGCCAGGCAGCAAACAGGAGTGCAGGGAAATGCAGAGAAATATTTTAATTTAATTTTGTGTGATGTTTAGCTCAAAATAAACCAAGTAAATTGTTTCTTTCCTTTAATTACCTATTTCTCCTGTGAATCAGACTGGCTTGTCAGCGCCAGGGCACAGTCTGCAGTAGCAGGCCATCCTGCAAATAATTACAGAACTTGCCAGCATACTTCCTACTGGATTAGCCTGAGGGAGCGTCTCTGGAACTGGTGTAATGGGAGGTCGGGGCAGGCTGAGGAAGCGGGTGTTTTGGCAGCAGAGTTCTGATGCAATAGCCCATAGCCACAGAGGCAGACCTGCCAACTGGGGAAGAGGGATGAAACGTGCTCATCAGGAGTCCGGGTGCCTTTCTGCAGGGTGTGCTGTATTGTTTTGTGAGCTCCCAAGGCATTGCCGGCTGCTCCTGGGTCCCCTCGGAGATCTTGAGAGCTGGCTGGGGTACAGCCTGCCCCGGGAGCCACCGCTGCCTGCTCTGATCCGGCTTCTGTTCAGCCAGTGTGATGGGGCATAGGGTAACTGCTCAGGCACTGGGGCTTATGAACAGTATTTCTTGAAGGCTGCGTCTCTCATGTCTCCAAAACCCATCACCGACTGTCTGTTTTACAGGGGAATTTATCAAGGCACTGTACGAATCAGATGAAAATTGTGAGGTGGATCCCAGTAAGTGTTCGTCTTCAGACCTTCCTGAACATCAGAGCAACCTGAAAATGTGCTGCGAGCTGGCCTTCTGCAAAATCATCAACTCCTACTGGTCAGTATCCCGCGAGTGTCTCTCCCCTCCGCATGCCCTCAGCTAGCGCAGAGGTGGTACAGCTGCAGGGGACAAGGGTGGCCGCAGTCCATCTTCAGGCTGTTGGTACCTGTCCCTTAGCTGGGCTGACGGGCAGCTTGTCGGAGAGCTTTGGAGGGAGAGAGCTGCGGGGCCCTGCCTACGTCCTGCAGCGCATAAGGGAGTCCTGGCAGTCCAGGAGCAAGGATGAGGATGGCCAGGGAGTGAGACAGCAGCTCCTGCTCACCCAGAGTTTGAAGCATCTGCTCTAGGGCTGAGACAGCCTCACTGGATTCTCTGTCACACTTGTTTTCAGTGGGTGCTGAAGGGTTACTGGCGCAGACACGGGGACAGGGCAGTGGAGACGAGGAATGTGAAATGCCTTTGCCAGTGTGACCAATTCAGAGAGGGACTTGATGCCAACTGTATATGAAAGTCTGGAATAAAGGGCAGAAATGCATGTCCTGGGTCTCCTACCCATGTAACAATTCAGTCTGGATCAGACTGACGGACTCTGCCTGCCTCCCCAGAGCATCAGGTGAAGTTTTGAAATCCTCTCTGCAGTAGGCAGGGTCTGTGGCACTCCTCCTGCCTGCAAGGAAGCTGCACCAGCACAGGGAGCTTTTGTTTAGGCAGATGTTCTCTTGTTGCAGAGTGCTGGAGCAGGGGAGGATGCTGCTGGTACTCCTGGGTTGCTGTTTGGCTCAGCATCCTGCGTTCCTCTGGGTTAACCCTTCTCTCTCCCAGCCCCAGGGTGCTTGTTGAGGTGGAGATGGGGAGCCCATTGCCTCCTTGGCCCAAGGCCTGGTATGCAGTTTGAGGCATTTCCTAGCTGTTTGTTCTCAGGGTAAAGGTTCTTGCAACTAGTTGGGACAGGCCCAAATATGCAAAATTGGTTGGAGTAGTCGTATCTTGTTGTGGAAGTGGCTGTCGAGCATGGCTGTGCTCATGGTGTTACCTCCTGCTCAGCCCTGGGGACTGGGAGCCAGGAGTCCGTGGGTCTGTTACAGATGCCTGCAAAGATGACTGAAAGAGGAAAAAAATGGGCTTGTGACTCTCTTTACTTGGAGAAATAAAAATATTTTCTCTCTGATTCTTGCTAACATACCCAGACACTCTTGTCCTGATCACATGAGAGAATGATCATTTTTGTCTTACTGCTGGATTTGCAGTCTTCCTGCTTAAAAGTCTGGGCTTAGTTTTTATTAATGTATTTCATAGCAACACTGTTGTTGCAAAACACCAACTAAGGATAACATTGGAGGAAGAAAGTCTTTGATAGTACGGATTTCTCATTTTCTCTCCTATCCCAGCTGTTGTGTTGAGGTCTAAAAACTCATTATACTTAATATCCCAGGACACTGGGTGTGCCCTCCTGCAAGCCCAGGAAGGGAATTGCTCTTCCTGATACTGCTCAGGGAGGGAACAAGCAGCAAGAGGCTCACTCAGACTTCCTTTATCTATCACAAATAAGCAAAGGGCAGATTTCTTTACAGGCATTCTATACCTTATCCTGGGCCACTTAATAACTCTCTGACTCAGGAATGGTGTTTACCTGCTCTCACAGGAGGGATTCACTGCTTTTAGTCACCAGAGGATTATAATTGTTTGAATTGAATTAATGTATTCCTAAAACCACCAAAAGCAGCACTAAAAGGTCGCTCTAAAAATAGGCTTGAAAAGTGACCTAAGGAAAGTCAGGAATGCATGGGAAGTTTGTTCCTCCAGTCCTGCCTTTCCGAGGAAGGCTGGAGCAGCTGAGCTGCTGCTCTGAGTGGTTCCCCCAGTCCTTTGTGCTCAGCGGTTCTTGGGAATTAATTGGGCTGATGAGTGTTTGGGATTGGCCAAGGTATCCTGACAGCTAACGATCTTGCTTTAAATAGAGTGCCAGAGTGTGCATGTTCATCTGCCGGATAGAGTCAGAGAGAGGAAAAAGGTTTACAATAACTGAAAATTGTTATAATTATGACATAATTTGGACATCTGGAAAGTTTCAGTGTAAGCAGAAATTCAGCATGTGGAAGCTCGTTACTGGAAAGTTGGGTAATGAATTATGGGCCCGTTTGTCACATAAAGCTGGCTAACTGAATTCCATCCGCTGTTACACAATTAAACTTTTATGGTCTCCCAGCCTGTGATAGTGAACAGTACTGACGGGCTGTATGCAGCCGGTGCATACATTTTCAAGGGTTTACTTTCCAGTAACTGTACAACCTGTCCTGATCATTCAAGCCTTAAATTGCTTAAAGGATTCTCCTGTTTCTGGGCAAATACCATGAAGTAAAAGGGCTTTGTCCAATTGTATGGATCAAGCCAAAGACAGAGGAGAATTTATCCAGCCAAAGACGTCGGTAACGTTATTTATAAAGCACAGGGTAAAAACTCACAAGTGTGAAAGCCTGAAGCCAACACGGAGCTGAACACGATGGCAGCATTTGCCAAGCACTTCCACAGAGTGTCACCGCCCATGTCCGAAGGTCGGAGAGAAACCTGAAAACCTGGAGCGCAGCTACGTGGGCCTCCGTGTGCAGCAGTGCTGTGCTGAGCAGGCTGCCTGGGGTGGGAAGCGTGCGGCCGGGCAGCGCGGTCTGCGGCTGGCAGATTAACGAGATGAGGGGCGAGGGCTCTGCCTGCTGAGCGTGCACGCCGCCGGCTCAGAAGATGGCCGCAGAGCTAGAGGCTGTGGCTGTTGGGCTGCAGGGTACGCGCCGCTCTCAATGGACCGCAAACCCCGTAGGTCCTCAGCTCTGCAGTGGGGCTCCTCTGGGTGCTCCTCCGTTTCGGAGCCTCCCACCCAATTCTTGCTGCCGCTGGACAGTGGATGGGGTCTCTGGCCATGCAAGTCCCATGGTTTTCTCTTCTTCCAAACTCGGGTGAGGTTCAACCACAGGGCAGTCAGTCCCAGAGAGGGGGGCAGGCCGGTGAGAAGCCAACTGACGTTGCTTTGCTTCTCCCAGACAGTGCCCGCAGCAAAACTGGGAAACCGTCCTCTGAAATGGCTGGTTTTTAAGGAGATTTATGGCCTAAAATGGAGTCCAACCCCTCTTCAGTCTGCTTTTGTACCATCCAGCTCTGGTTTTGAAACAAAGACGGTGGTTGCTGGCCAGGACAGCCTCCAGGGCGGGTGGGGAGCTCTGTACCAGGGACCCAGGGGACCAACAGCAGCGCCGTGGGACCCATTGCCTGCCTGCTCCCGTGGGTGGGAGTATCCAGCTGAATAAATAACCCATGCTGGGAACAGGATAAGGTGGGAGCCCAGAGCTGGGGAGGGCCGAGCAGAAAACAGGCAGCAAGTTCTCTGTTGATAAGGGCTGTTGCAGCAAGCGTCTGCTGGACCCAGGGGAATTCTGGTATCCAGGAAAGCCAGGCTGAGGTCTGTGCAGTTACAAGGCGGGAGTAACTCCGGTGGGGCTCTGCGTTTGTACTAGTCACACTGGGATTTGATCCAGGTGCTTGAACATGAGTATTACAATTTGCACAGCACTCCCTCCAAGCACCGGCTGTGTCGGTGACCCCAGTACTGCTGGCGATTCTGCCGAGAGGGTCCCATGATGCTGCGTTTCTTCAGGAGACACTCTCCACCTTGGTGCCTGAGCTTCCCCCCAGTTGGAAGTGCCCTGTGCACAGCCAACTGACTTGCGATGAGCTGCTTTGCAGAGTTTGTTTCATATCTCTGTCTTCCCAGTTGTCTGGGGTTTTGGCACCCAGGACAACCAGGAACATTAGTCTGATGAAAGCTGCTTCTCCTGCAACTTTACGGAGCAGCTTTGCTTTTTCCTGTGTGGTTTGAGTCTCCTAAAAGGGCAAGAGCCTGTGACTGGTGTAGATAGCAGTGCTGCTGTGGATCAACAGGGTGAGAAGGCTCTACTGTTGTACAGGTCTGGGTGTCGCACCCCACAGCTGATACGCACCATGTTTAGCTACTGCTGTGTGGCTGTTTGAACACCCTGGCCTTGAACTTGCCATCATCCCTGCATGTCCTTCCGTCGTTCCAGTGTCTTCCCAAGGGAGCTCAAAGAAGTTTTTGCCTCCTGGAGACAAGAATGCAGCAACCGAGGCCGCCCAGACATCAGTGAGCGACTGATCAGTGCCTCCCTATTCCTCCGGTTCCTCTGTCCGGCCATCATGTCCCCGTCCCTCTTCAGTCTCCTGCAGGAGTACCCGGATGACCGCACTGCACGCACTTTGACCCTCATTGCCAAGGTCACCCAGAACCTCGCTAACTTTGCCAAGTAAGCCAGGGTGCAGGGGCCAGAGGGGGCAGGTCTGGAGAGGGGGAAGGAAACTCCGGGTGCGTAGGCAGAGCCACAGCTCCGGCATCAGGAGTGCCACACTGGTCGCTGCTTTCCTCAATGGAAAGGGTCTGTTTCCCGTTGGCTTTTTCCCCTGCGTCTCTCTGGGACCCATTCCCTCACTGTCGGGTCAGGGAGATCATTTAAGTTTCCAAAACAGGACGTGTTTTATGAGCAGCAAATGGGCTGTTTTGACCACAGGGACGAGCCGGCAGGGTGGCAGCAGGAATGCCCCGGCACAGTCAGGCACTTTGTCCCGTGACGGCTGTGCGGGGCATGGCTGGCGGCAGTGCACTGCCTGCCTCCCGTCAGAGGCACCAGTGGGACCAGAACCCAAACAGCAGCAATGGTGTGCATAGCTCAGGAGCTGGTCTTTCCTTCCTCTGAGCTCTGGGACCTTCCCTGCTATTAAAATGCAGATGTCTGAACTGGGAAGGTATGAAAAGAGAATGGGGACACTATCAATTTCTAACTAAGCCCATTGGTTTGATGGAAACAAAGCAAGAGATTTCTGAAAATCTTTCAACTAGCTGCAGCTCTGAGCTACTTATCCTGAGCTCTGATAACAAAATGATGAGCTTTCTGAAACATGAATGGACAGTTTCTGTCTAAAGCTTCTTAGATTTGGAAACTAGCTTAGTACACACACTCACAGTCAGGGATGCGCGTACATGCAAGCAGACACAGACGGAAGACATACAAGTGTGTTACACTAGATGACAGAAATTCTCTGTATTCCTGACCAATCCCTAACTAAAGGGTTTTCAGATTTCCAGCACTGTGCAGGAAAGACTCTTTAACTAAGCTGACATTAGTCAAGCCAAAGTGATCAAGCTGAGCTGTCCTGCAGATGGCGTACAGCCAAGCCTCTCCTCACAGAATCACCGGCGCTGGCACAGCACCAACTGCTGCTGGTGCAGTTGAACCATAAGACCCTCCCTATTGTGCTCTAAATAAGACATCTGACTGAAAGCGAAGTCTGGGTGGAGTGCTTGGAGGGCAGAAGGAGGTTGCAAGAAGCCCAAGGGGACAAATGGGCTAGCCCAGCTGCAGGTGTAGCTCTCCTGGTTGATCCCCAGAGCGGTTGTGCCGGGGCAGCAGCCGGCACGGCTGGAGTTAGCTTCAGTGCCCATGGAAGAGCAGGGAGAGCGCAGGATTCCTACCACCATCATTCACTGGGCTTCAGTCAGTTGATGGTGCTTGGTGTTGCAATTTCTTTATTTGCAGTGACAGGTCCTATTTCTGGAGGCTGTGCCCTGACCCAGCAGTAAGATAAACTCCATTACCAAGAACAGCTTTGTTTCTCTAGCTTTCACCTTCATTTCTACTGCGGAGATCCCATGCTGACAAGGACTTAGCTGGTTTAGGCTGGAGTAAATTTTGGTTCCGTGATCAGTGAGGTGTACCAGGTGCCTGCTAGCAACCTGGGGATCCCAAAGACTTTGAAGGGTTCAGATGCCAGAGAAAGGCTCTGGCATTCTTACCTGCGTATGTACCTACCCATTCTGTTGACTGCACTTCTGTTTAGAGGATTTAGTTGAAATTTGTACTGCTGTCTTCATAGGTTTGGCAGCAAAGAGGAATACATGTCCTTTATGAATCAGTTCCTGGAACATGAATGGACTAACATGCAGAGATTTCTGCTGGAGATTTCCAATCCCGAAACCATCTCAAACACAGCTGGCTTTGAAGGCTACATTGACCTGGGCCGGGAACTGTCCACTTTGCACTCGCTACTCTGGGAAGTCATTTCTCAACTAGAGCAGGTATCCGGGGGGATTGCAGGGGCAGGCTTTGGGGGAAGCGCAGTTGGCCAGTGCTGGGCATCTGTACCACACCACACACCTCCCCATGTCCAGCAGGTATCAATCCATTAGCTATATCTGTGCACAGCACAGCTGTTACTAACCCGTAGCACTTCCCCAGCCTTTGCACATGCTGCAGAAGTAGCTCATTCTTTATGTCCTTCTTTGAGGCAGGTGAGTATAGCTCTTTCCCTCCTCTGCTGTTTATCACTGGGGGGTGAGGATGGAGAGGCAGGTGGGAAGAGAAGGCACAGCTGCTGAACACCAGGATTTTGTCTGTCCCAGCAGATTCAAAAGGTTTCTTTTAAATTAAAAGGACTTTTGTCAAGAGGCCTGGACCAGGTTTGACTATAGCTGTCATCTTCTGTATCTGAGCTTTGTTAATCATGCTTCTTCCTCTGCTCCACAGCAGCAAATGGCTTCTAAAGCCACATGTTCTGGGACATCCTGTAGCCTCAGCGGTGGGGGTAAATGATGGAGAAAATGAATGTTGTTAATGTGATTCACTGAAGAGACTGTCCAGCAACTGGCAAAGCCCACAGTTCTCTAGCAAAAATACAAGATATTGGTAGTAAAATACAAGATGTTGGTAGTAATTCTGCTCTCTTTTCTGCCCAGGGCACTGCAACAAAACTGGGGCCTCTGCCTCGGATCCTGAGGGATGTCAACTCGGCACTCAGTAACCCGACCTGTGTGCAGGTCTCGGTCACAGCCGATCACACCGCATCCACGCCTAACGCTGGCAACAGCATCTCTGCGGGGCTACAGAAAATGGTGATAGAGAATGACTTATCTGGGTAAGAGCATAAAAGGTGGCCTGGCCACAGACCAGGGAAATACTGACTATTCATCTACTGCCAAAACATGAGCACCTGCGGGGACAGACAGGACGGGGTGTAGTGTGGAGTTGCCTGATCCATTGACTAGGCTTTCCGATCGCAGAACTGATATTGGATGTAGTTCAGCTCTGAATCTAGACAAAGCAGTGGGCGGTAGTGCAAGCGTGTGGCTCCATGCCGGGTCGCTTAAGAGCCAAAATTGGGGATGTGGTTTTGGGAAATGGAGAACTTGGTGGTTCTGGTCCCAGCTGTTGAGATATGGCTGCAGAAGTAAAATGTTCATCCTTTGAGGACTTGAGGGCTTGTTTGTGCTAACCTCAAAGTGATGGGTATTGCCATTAAGTTCATTAGGTCTCTGAGTATGCAAGATTTATGGGATTGGCCTTATCCGTCTTTGTAAGACATAGGGTATATATGTGCTGAATTCACTGAGATCCAAATCTGGACATTTCTCTAATAGTTGCCAAACTGTAGAAGGCCTAACAATGAATTCCAGTCTGCTCTGACCAATTTTCATAATACCGCGTGTTTTTAGTGATGAGCAGCGATTCACAGACACTGTCACCTAACTTACTTTTTGGCCTAATTATGTAAGGAGTTTCATTCATGGGGAAGATGACTCTGTTGCAGACCTATAATGTTTCTGTTTGTGGAAAATGAAATGGAGCCCACACAAATGGAAAGACTGTGCTAGTAAAATAGTTAGTAAGTGGAAACTACGTAATATTTAACAGTTTAATTAGGAATGAAAGGCAGCAATGGTGCTGGACTTGAGCTAATCAGAGCTTTCGTCTGTAATGCTTCCCAGCGTGAGGTACAATTATTTAAATGTAATGGTATGGAGGATCTCTGACAACATGCTTTCACCCAAATGCTTGCTTACAACGCACCATCTTTGATCAGCAGTATATTCACATTAAGCTACTGCAAAGCTCTTTCTTCATATCCCCAAGAAATCAATATTGCATGAATGTCTGTTACAGCAGGAGGAATGGGTGGATAACCTTCAGTTGCTAGGCTTTAGCTCTGCTGTTAGAGCTCTCTGTCTGACCCTTGGAGGCCTAGTGTGGATCAGGCCCCCCATGGTGTTCCATCCTGTACAAATATTGGCCGGTGTGCCCTCAGGAGCTTACTGCCCAGGTACAGAGCAGGGGACGTGAGAGTGGCGTGGATACAGCCGCTTGGAAGCAGAAAGGGTGACGCGTGCTGTCAGCGCGATGAGCAGATCCAGCCGGGGAGGCAGAGCCCCCCCAGAGCGCGTCTGCGATGCCTCCCGCACGGCACAGCGCTCTCACCGCGCGTCCGCACGCCCCTCGCTCGCCTGCCTACGCCCGCCCGCTCCTGCAGGGCTGGCCCAGGGCTCCTCTGCACCCCTCCGTCCTCCCCGCTCCCCTCGCACCGTCCCTCCCCGCAGGCAGACCTGGCCGGGCCAGCCCTGCCTCTGCGCCCGCAGGGGCTGGGTTACGTCCCTGTCCTGCACAGCTGCGCCACGCTGATTTCTTCTGAGTGATTTCGTTTTTCTGCTCCGGTGCAGCATTCACAACTCTTCTTTTTTGTTTTGTTTTCCTCTCCTCTTCCTTATGCACTGACTTCCCCGCAGTCTGATAGATTTCACACGGTTACCATCTCCAACCCCTGAAAACAAGGACTTGTTTTTTGTCACAAGGTCTGCTGGGGCCCAGCCCTCACCTGCCCGAAGCTCCAGTTACTCAGAGGCCAATGAGCCCGACGTGCAGATGTCTAATGGCAGCAAGAGTTTGTCCATGGTGGACTTGCAGGACAATCGGCTCTTGGACAGTGGGGCCAACGCGCCTGGCACGGCTGACTCCCTCAATGACAGTCAGTCGTCCCTCGGGCAGTTGCAGGGCGTATGGACCGCACGGACTCAGCAGAACAGCGTGACGGCCATGGCCACCGTGCGCCGGGTGGGCCAGACCCCCACCACGCCGAGCGGCGAGAGCGCGCCCGGCCGGCCCCAGCTCCTGGCACCCCTCTCCTTCCAGAACCCCGTCTACCAGATGGCCGCCGGGCTGCCGCTCTCCCCCCGCGGCCTGGGCGACTCCGGCTCCGAGTGCCACAGCTCGCTCAGCTCCCACAGCAACAGCGAGGAGCTGACGGCCAACAAGCACGGCTTCGCCGCCCCCGCCGCCAGCGAGGACTTCACCCGCCGGACAGGGGAGCTGGCCCGCCGGCAGCTCTCGCTGACGGAGAAGGGCGGCCAGCCCACCGTGCCACGGCAAAACAGCGCGGGACCGCAGAGGCGGATAGACCAGCCGCCCCCGCCGCCCCCGCCTGTCACCCGGGGCCGGACGCCGCCCTCCTTGCTGAACACTGTTCAGTACCAGCGACCCTCCAGCGGCAGCATGATGTCCTCCTCGCCAGACTGGCCTGGCAGCGGGGCCCGGCTCCGGCAGCAGTCCTCCTCCTCCAAGGGCGACAGCCCCGAGATGAAGCAGCGCACCATGCACAAACAGGTGAGTTTGGGGGCCGTACCAGCTCTGGGCGTTGAAGGGGCCGGGCAGGGCTCAGCCCGCGGACTTGGAGAAGAAACCGGCCAGTGGGCATTGCTGCAATGGGAGGGGACGTCACTGTGGCTCCTGAGTTACCGCATCGGTGCCGACCCCGTTGGCGGCATCGCATGTGGGGATGCGCCTCGGCTCTTGCGCCTGGCTTGGCCTGAGAGGGAGGCCCTCCGGGGAAGGGGACGCAGACCAGCGTTCATTCTCTGTGTTCCTCCGTTGCGTGGCACGTTGGCGTGTGACTGCCGCAGGGCGGCAGGTGGCAGAGACACGAGGGCGATGGCAGCCATGCCTCTGTCCTGCGGTACCATCTTGTCACTGCTTTGCCTCTCCATGCCCAGGCATTCATCCCATGCCATAGTCAACCCCGCGCCATCTCCCAGACTTGGACCGGGCCCTAATCTTCTCTTGTGACTAAGAGCCTCCCTGCTGCAGCTCCTGTCCCAGCAGAGCCACGGCACTCCTGGACGCTCCCATTTTTTGCTCTGCGAGACCCTCCTGTAAGTGCTTCAGGGGAGGTGAGAGCAGTAGGGAAGGAGTGTGCTCCCCGTCGAGAGTGAAGTTCCTGCTGTGCAGAGCTCTGCAGTGATTCAGGTCCCAGACCGCATGCTGGTCTGCACAGAAATACGTTTTGCTATTTGTGGTGCTAAAATTGAAAGCAGTAGGTCACAGACCCAGGGCCGTGTGGTTTTCCTGGCATGGATGAATTGTTTTTCTAGCGCTCATTTATTCATTCTACATTTCAGAGCTAACCCTATAGAAAATTAACACAGTAGGGCCTCTCAGTGCCTAAAGGAAGAGTTTTAAAAGTAATGCAAACCCAGAGGATGTGGACAACTGGCAAGAGCTCGCTGCATCTCAGCCCAGACACAGTATTAAGGCACCTTTTCAGCAGTACGGTGTTGAAAGAGCAACCGAGTTGGTGTAACTACCTTTCCTTTACAAGGCAGCTGTGGAGGCCTTTGTCAGTGCTGCCCATTGAAGGCTGTTTTATCAGCCGCATCTGGAGCTGTTCTGTGCATACGGTATTGATTCATAAGCGCTGACATTAGCAAGCATGCCATGTAGCAGCATTTGTATATTGTGGATCAATACTCATTAGGTACAGAGGGCACAGAGCTCTGCAAGCAGCAGCAGCCTGTTCGGTAGCAGTTTCCTCCAGAAAGACAACAGTGAACTCTGGGTGACCTTCGGAAAGCCCTGGCCAAGTTGTCTTTGCAGATCTTTCCTCCACCCACCCCTGTTGTCCTCTCAAAGTTTCTCTCAAGACCTGAAGTCCTCAGAATGTCTTTCCTACCCTTAATCTGCGCATTTTACTTACATGTTAGCAGCATCTGTAGACCATAATGAAGCTGCTTGCTCATGGTTGGTGGTACTAAATGCTGTTTGAGAACAAAGAAATCCCATTTGGTGGCCATTTTAGTAGAAGTCCATGAACCTCGTTCCTGCCAGCCAGAAGCACTTCCTCTACTTCTGTAAGTTCATCTGCTGAACTGACTTCCAAACTGTCCCAGGCCAGACGAGACGTCCTTTTTTACTTCTTCAGAGAAGGAAGAAAGAGGCAGAAGGACTCATGCACAGTGGGCTGAGCTCTGTTCGCTGACATCCTTTACCAGTGGCCTTTACGCTGCTGAAATGAACCCGGGTGGCCACTGCTCTTTGGAGCCAGAAATTCTGAGCAGCCAACACAGGTGCCATGCCCGAGCTGGAGATGCAAGAAGAAGCAGAAAGCCACAAGCCAGGGGAGGATTTATAGCAAGTGATGTTCATGACTTGAGTCTGAAACTTCTGATTTAAAATTCTGGAAGTAGAAGACCAGGCTGGAAGATGGCATGAGAAAGCCCCCAACCCCAGTGAGGTGACTAAACCAGTCCCCACTCCTTCTGCGTACAGAACCTCCTGTTCTGCTTCTTGCTGGTGACTGGGTTTCTTTACTGTCCAGAGGTTTGAATGAAGGAGAAAATCCCCGACATTTCTGACTTGTTATCTTGAATTCCCTTGACCAGGTCATCCAGATCCCTTGTGTTCATCCAAGAAACTGCTTACTGCAGTTTATAATGAGCCAGGATGGAGGGGAAATAGCTGGAGATTCACTTCCTCAACCTTGTAATGTGGTTGGAAAATATTTAGGCAATGCCATTTGCAGTCCCTGCCCAGGCTAGGACTGAAAAGCAGCAGCTGTGTCTCTAGCTGTCTGACTGTGGAACAGCTCTGCTCCTTGAGCTCCCATAGCTACGTGAACAAACCTAGAGATGAACTACTAAGATACCGAGCGTTTAGACCTCTCCAGCATCCTAAGTGTAGTCTCGGCCAAAAAGAAACTTTTCTTTTCCAAGAAGGCACCTGCATGACCAAAAGTAGCATTTCCGTTTGCAGAGCTGGTTTTATCTGTACGACATCTCCCCAGCGAGCAAAAGGACGGCTCAGTAAAAGGTGCTGAAGAGTTGAGTGAAATCTCTACTTGCGGAGTGAATATACCACGTCAAGCCACTCTGCCTGCAGCTCGCTGCCTTCTCAGGTCATGTCCTTCTGAGGTGACAGGACCTGCTCAGAAACCTGGGCCCGTTACTTTCAGCAGGACCCCACTGCAGTGTGCCGTTGTACGTCTGTTCTGTGGGGGTGGCACAGGGAAGACTTTGGCCTGTCAAAGGCTGTTTGACCTAAAATCACGTGCAGATGCAGAATAGGAGTTGTTCTTACCCCCAAGCCCTGACCGCTCTGGTAGCTCAGACTTGTTCGTTGCTGTTTGAGCAGCAGGGGAGAGGGCTTGCTTGGAAGGAAATTCTCTCACCAGCTTCATGACCATTTCTGTTACAGGTTTTTCTTTTGTTATGGTTGTATGTTTCATTGTAGGCCCCTTCTCCTGTGAACCCCAATGCCCTGGACCGCACTGCTGCTTGGCTTTTGAATATGAACATGCAGTTTTTAGAAGATGAAAGCATTGACCCAGATTCCAAGCACAGGGATAAGCTCAGGAATAAGGACGAGCTCAGCCAAGCAGAAAAGGTAAAACCTGATTGGATTGAAACAAGTTTCTAAATAGAGAGAGGATTTCCTTGAATGTCGTTCATCTGAGCACCCTGGGGACAAGGTGGGCTGTGTGGCAGTCCCTGCCCAGGAGAGAGGGGTGTCAGGTTGCTCTTTGCCCTGCTCAGCCTCACAGGGTGATTCTGGGGAAGGTTTGGGAGGTTTTCACACACTCAGTGACTGGAATTACCCTCTGATGAAGGCAAGTAAGAAAAACAGAAGCCAGGAGTCAAGTGCCGGTGCTGCTCTGCAACAAACTCTGACACCAGCCAGTGCCTGTTACTTCCCCCATTCCTACTCCATCTGGCTGCAGGGGAAGAGAGCTTAAAAAGTGAATTAAGCACACCCATAAAAGTGATGAGAGTAAGGTACAGGCAGCCTCATGCCTCACAACAGGGACATCTAGCAAGAAGCAACTTCCATATCAAAAGGCTGTAAACAGACCTAAACATTAAGTCCAGATTCTGGTCTCAGAGACACCACCGGGGCCTGGGGTGACTTCAGTGGTGCAGTGACATCGCCCTGAGCTTATGGCTGTGTCACACAGACTGGGGCCTGACCAATCTGGGGCTCTGTCAGGAAGTCAGTTCCAGAGTATTCAGTCTGAGCCCACTGTCCCGGAGAGGCCCTGTGCTGCTCGCGAAGCAGAGGGTAATGCTCGTGTCTCCTCCTTCCCAGATGAGCCTGCGGTGGGACAAGCAGGGAAGAGACAGAGTAGGCCTGGCCAGGGGTGACAAAGTAGGGTTAGAAGTAAGGATCCAGCAGTCAAGAGCTGAGAAGATCCCATATTTGCTGATTGCTGCTTCTGCAAGGTGCTTTCTCGGCAGTCTGGCTCTGCCAGGACCGCTGCAGTTGGGCACAGTTAGCATTTGGGACGTTTCCTCAATGTGCTTCTCCTCTGTCACACCAGCCTTGTGTTACCACCCAGTCCCACGGAACTGCAGACATCACCCTCCCTGAGCCTCTTTCCTGTTTTTCCAGCACAGACATGTTTCTGTTTTTGTTACGATAGCCTTCCTGTTCTCATTTTGCTGTGCTGTATCATTTTGGGACTGTCACCTGTTAAATTCAAGTGAAATGCCAAAGGCAGGTATCATAGGGACTGGGAGGTACAAGGCAACCCAGGAAGAGCGTAGCAGAGTTTTGTGAGAGTTCAGCCCATTTCTTACTGGCTTTCTGCTCCTTGGGTATTCCTGAAAGTACACAGACATGTACTGATCAGAGAGCAGCTGACAGAAAAATGTACATGTTTAGCAGACTTTGTGTGCAGAGGTATAGAAATCTTGCCTACCACCTAAGCAGAGACACCAGTAGGCAGCAAATCAAAGAGAAGGCGTTGTCAGACTGGTGCATCGTGCACTGGGTTATTGCTGCATTTAGTCACTGAAGGGCTTCTAAAAGGGTTCAGTGCTCATTCGAGGCTGCAACGGAGAACAAGAGTGGCAAGCTTTCGTGTTGCAGTGGAAGTGGAGTGAGGTGAAATGCCGAAGGACCACACACTAAGAAATGTGTGCTGGCCTTGTCCAGCTCACACCTGCCAGCTCCCGCAGGCAGGCAGATGGCCCTCCGGTATGGACACGGTGCATGCCAGGCATTGTCACTAATCCCCTTCCTGGCACCTTCTCCTGTGAAACGGGCTCAGCTTTTACCAGGTGGGCACTCACAGGGACTGCTCTATTTCTGTGCCAGCCCAAGAGGCCGCTGCCCCCCGGGACGTGCCAGGCTCACCCCATCCTGCGCAGGGAGGGGCTCGCCAGCACAGGTCCTGCTCAAGGTAGAGAACGGTAGGATTACAAACTCTGACAGTATTGCAGCAAACTAGTCCCTGTCCCAAGTTCAGAGGGAGCTGCCACCTCCCAGGAGCCTGCTGTCTCATTCCCATGCAGCATCTTTTGTTACTTTGCTGTCACATCAGTCACTGACATTAAAGATCACCATTAGCATAATCTCTCTCCCCATTACTGTAAGACATGAATGGTAACCGAGAATGAGACAAATGTTCTAGAGACAGGAGCGACTCCTTCCGTCTCTGAGGCCTCTCCTGCTATCATTTGAGCTCACTTATGCTGCTCCTATTTTAAGGTTAGGGTAGGTATTTAATCTTTCCTGTTCAAGCAACTCCCTTCTGTCTGACTTTAGTGCTTCTGTGCAACTGTATGGGTGTTTGTGTTCCCTCATCGCTCCAGGTTATGTGTGCAAACTGTGTCGTTTCAGTGCCGCAGTAAAAGCTTTGCTAAAGGAAAAATAGAGGGATCTGTTGTGTCTGTCCCTGCCCGGGCAGAAGGAGCTCAGAGGTCCTGCCCATCTGCCAGCCATGGCTCGAATACTTTGGCAATTCAGGAAGGCCATCAGCATCAGAAATTTTCAGTCCTTGGGCGTCACAGTTAATTTTGCTGTCAGCCGGTCAGTTAGTGGAGTGATACTAGGAAAGCAACGTGGATTTACATGGGCGGGGGGGTCCAGCTGACCGGTACACGGGCAGCAGCCTGGCTGTGTTCCCCTCTCATGAGCTGATCTGCTGGTGAAACTCCCCAAAAGTGGGACACAACCAAGTAAGTAAGTAAGTAAGTCCATCGTTTGAGTGCTTACACACGTGGCAATGGCCAGAGGGGAAGGCCGCATTTTCAGCTAGCCGAGTCAAGACACAATTAAGTGCATTTCTGTCAATTCATGAATAACACTTGTAGCTTTGTAACAGACTTCATGACTCACATTGAAGTCTTTTTCCCGTATCTGACTCTTTAAAAGCAGCTTGTCAAATTATCAGCTGCATGTTAATTCTAAGGTTATTCCAGTTGAGGGTTTTTTTTTTTAAAGAAAATTTCCAAAGGTAATTTTTTTGAAGTTAAAGTTGGGGTTTTTTGTACAGCTACACACTAGCTTTTCCTTTAGCAAAGCAAGTTGTACTGAGTTCTGTGCTTCTGCAATAGCTGAACCCAGTTTTACTGAGTTAGAAAGCTCTTACTTTTTTTAATTGCTTTATGTGATTATTCTGCTGCTGATTTTTAGCTTCATCTGAATGAACAGTACAACTGTGGGGTCTTGGCTTCATGCAGCAGCTCTTCTCGGATGGAACCCTGGTTTGACACCTGATCGTGTTTAAAATCCTGCGCCCCAAAAGGCAGTAGTGCTCACTGCCCCTGCTCACGCCAGCGAGTTGCCCTCGCCTCGATGGAGGGTGACCACTTTGTGCCGAGACAGCAGTGCCTACGTCTGTCACTGCTGCAGAGCCTGCTGCCTGGCAGGAGGCAGGCAGCACTAACAGCTTGTGCTTGGCTTCCAGCATGTCCAAAGCGCCCACCTTTATCGTTGTAGACTGAAGAGCTTGCGTAAACCCAAAATCCCACCAGTGCAGCTTCTCCTGCCTGCGTTTAGCCCTGCGCTGTTAGTGTGAGGAAGATGCCAGATGCGTTTGCCATTCACTCACTCTAACCTGCATTCCCCATGTGAAATGCCAGACTCTGCTAACAACCCATTCTCTGAACCTGCCAGTGACCTGCCTGCCCAGTGGAACGCAGCATCGCTCCTAGCGCAGTGTGGAGAAGACTGAAGAGGAGGTGTCGGCAAGCGGGGTTATCTGATACGGGTTTGCAGCTAGTCTAATGCAAGGAGAGGGGCATAACTGGGTTACGGGGAAACCCTGGCAAGGGCAAAGCCCTACTAGGTAACATGCCACATGTGTTTTCTCCTCCTGTGTCTGTCCTTGCGTGCTGTAGTACCAGCAGGACCTAGTGGTGCTGCAGGACAAGCTTCGCATCTCCAACAAGAAGCTGGAGGAATATGAGACTCGCTTCAAATGCCAGGAGGAAACAACGCAGAAGCTGATGCTGGAGTACCAGGCCAGGCTGGAGGAGAGTGAGGAGCGGCTCCGCAGACAGCAGGAGGATAAGGAGATCCAGATGAAGGGCATCATCAGCAGGTACAGGGGAGATGGGAGTGCTGGAGATGACAGGCACGCAGCCTGGCTGGCATTTAGAGCTGATTCCCCACTCTGGAGAATCACGTTTCTTTGGAGCTGCAGGCAGGTTTCCCGTGTGGGTTTTCCAGCATTTATTCACTCCTGCGCTTCTGGGTTACAGCCCCTGCAGGGGATTTCAAGCACTGACTCTTTGGGTCCCCCCATCAGTGTTACCTGGGACAAGGAAAAACCCTGACATTTCCAGACAAAGGCAAAACTTCAGGAGGGGAGAGCTGGCAGCCTGCCCCAGTTCTTGGAGGCTCTGGTAGGCTTGCTCGTCTGTTCATATGAGCGATAGATGTAAAGATCCAAATGTTCTTTTCCTGATGTTTCGCTGAAGATCTCATCACCATCCCATTACTCCTAACTATAAATCCCCTTCTCCCACCCAGTGGGATGTGGTGTTTATGTTTGTCTAGCACATACACTGTTCCAGTGCAGCTAGCTTCACCTTTACCTGAGCCAAGCCAACTTAATGCTTTTAATTAGCCCACATAAATGGGTCAGCCTTCACTGTTCTGTATCACTTAAGCTTTGGGACAGTCTGCTATAGACAGCTCTAGAGAAGAGTAAGAGCCAGAAAAAAGACTGATTCTAAACTATTGGTCTTGTGTAAGAAGAGGTAGCTCCAAAGACTCTTGTGTCCTTTGTGCTCGAAAGCACAACTGCGGGTCCTGGGAGGATCTCTGTGTGTGCCTCAGCATTGCAATTTCAGATAAGACGGTTTGACCTGGTATGGATGATGGGGGCTGCTATGTGAGGCCAGTTCCATCTGTAGACTAGCTTCTCTGGTATTGCACATCTCTTCCTATGTATGTGCTTCAGAGATGTACATCACCTCTTTGCTTCCTTGGTGTCAAGGACTAAATGAGGACATGATCTGTATTGTTCACTCTGGGTGGCTGATTTAGACGTGTATGAGACTAGTATCTGGGCTTAGCAGAGGCCAACAAATCTAATATTTTTTTCTTGTCCATTTGGCTACCAGACTGATGTCAGTTGAGGAGGAGTTAAAGAAGGACCATGCAGAAATGCAGGCTGCCGTGGATTCCAAGCAGAAGATTATTGATGCACAGGTGAGTCCCCAGTACCAGGGTGAGTCTGCCAGCGTGCAGCCTCCCTGCCATGCAGCAGTGCCAGCTCAAGCACAGCGAGACTGTGCACATGGGTGAGTCAGCAGCAAGCTGCAGTCAGTGACAGAGCCATTCAGACTTCAGCAGGATGCGATTTATTGTCACAGCATTTGCATTCGTACGGCTGTTTCCAGCCTTGGAGCTTGGCAGGTGACACAGAGGATGGCGGGGGGAGGTTTGTGGAAGGATCATGCCCACATTTCAGTCAGTTTGTGGAAGGATCATACCCTTGTTGGCTCAGTCTGAGGTCCCCAGAGCTTTGCTTGGTGCTTCATGTTCCAGTTGTGCTTGCAGGACCTGGATACAAGGAACAAACACAAAGCCTAGCCAGAGCAAAGCCAACGTGTTTTTTCAGCCTTTGGGTTGTGGCTTGCAGGATTGGGAAGCGCAGTTATTACTTTGGATTACAATGGCAGAGGAGCATCAGATGATGGGTGCAAAACACTATGCTTGGAAAAGAGAATCTGAAAATATGGTCCATCATCTAATTTGTTTAGGCAGAGATCAGCATCTTCTCAGCAGCTAGGCCTTCCTACAGGTTGTGGCTAGGTGATAGTATATTCTAGGCTTACTCTTAATAACCCTATTAATCACTTGTGAGTCACTACTCATGACTAATTTACTGTATAGCTAATTAAAAAGGAGATGAGACAGTAGTAACTTTGTAAAAAGAATCACTGTTTTTCTGTAGAGTAATTTGTTCAAAGCTAGTAAATCACCATACTCCCTTCTGCACTCAGCAAAGCCTAGCAGATACAGGGGTGTCCGTAAGGTGCTACCGGCACAGACTGCAGCCTGCCAGCAGCTCTCGACAGGCTGTCCTGTCTCCTGCCATTTTCTGTGTTACATGTGAGGCTTTTACCATGAGGCAGTCTAAACTGTTCTCTTTTTGTCATCTCAGGCTGTACAATAGCGTTAGACTTGTCCATACATGGACCTTCAAAGTTACACACAAGCAAACTACTGTGCTCCTCTGAGTTGGTTCTGTTCCTTCGTGCCAATGGCAGACAGAGAGGGATGATGACTTGTTCAGTGTCAAAGAGCAGGAGTGGCAGAATCAGGCTGCAACATGGAAGATCTTGCTCCCGTCCTTACGATACTGTAATTGGTGAGAGTTGCCATCAAAGCCACCCTGGGAGGCCACAAGTCATTTGAACTATTAATTTACGCTAACAAAAATCAACTAAACACTGACAGGAATAACTATCTTGGGAGAGCTTGGTTTTAGAAAAGGAATCTTGTAATCTTTGTAACAGCTGCAGTTAGAGCAAACAGTACAATGAATTTCTGTATAACTGAAGAATTAGAGAAACCACGTTACCTCCATTTTCTTCAGGATGCTAAAATGAATTTAGCTCATTGCACAGGCAAAGTACATTTGTGGCCCTGCTAATAGTGGATTTGAAAAAATGCTGCCCTTCTTTTAGCACTTAAAAACCCCACACCTAAGAATGCCAAAGAGAAAGGTCCTGGTCCAAGAGGCCTCTGGGTCACTGTGTCAGGACAAGCCCTGGCATCACGGAGGGACAGGTCTCCATGCCTTTCCACTGACTGTTCCCCTCTGCCTGTTTGTTTGCAGGAGAAACGCATTGCTTCATTGGATGCTGCCAACGCACGGTTAATGAGTGCCCTTACTCAGCTGAAAGAGAGGTACAGCATGCAGACACGTAATGGGATCTCCCCCACAAACCCAACTAAATTGCAGATTACAGAGAATGGAGAATTCAGAAACAGCAGTAATTGTTAACCCGTGGAGGGCGCTGCCGCAGGAGAGGAGGCCTGGCCAGACAGACCGTGCAGCAGCAGGTGTGAGCCGCGGCTTCAAAGAACGGCTGCTCTCTCCCCCCAGAGAAACCAGCTCCTTACTGCGGACGGCGCGCTTGACTGAGCCTTTGTGGGAGATGCTAATGCCAGCACATTGAGGGGACGGAAAGATCGAGTGTGAGATGAGTGGCATAAGGAAATAACATATATTTGAGAATCGCTGTCACTGTTGGATTTAAATCAGTGTTTAATGTTTAAACAAAAGTAACCTTTTCCTTCTAAACTGCCCAAAGGATATGCCTCACCCCTCCCAGCAAGGAATAACGTCCTTGGCATTGCAGTAAGCGAAATAAAGGGAGCTGGGCAGAGCCTGCAGCAGGCAATGGCCCAGTAAGTCCAGTTAAAGTGTGCTGCTGGATGTAGCCGTACGAGGGATGGCAGCAAAGCTTGGCCCGCTCCTCCTGTGACTCCCCCTGGAGCACAGCCCTCTCCCAAAGCAAACCCTGAGCTGAGCCCAGCCGTCTTTCCTTACGTGGCTTTTGTGAGGCCACTGACTTTTATAGCGGGTGACTGTCCACAGGGCATTTACGCAGCTAATTAGTGTTTAATTAACTCCGCCCACATAGGGAGCACAGTCCAGATGAAAGGTCAGGGCGCACTCTGTGCGATGTGGTAGCCAAAGGGGTGCTGCGTGGGGAACCACGGTGGCAGGGCAGTGGAGCAGGGCATGACTGGTACTGCTGGGGCTGCTGGGGGTCCCTGGGCAGCCCAGGGGAGCAGAGCAAGTCCAAGGCTCTGGCACGCAAGTGGAGGGAGGAGCTGGCACCCGGAGAATGGCGACTTGATTCCTCTCTACAGCTTCTGCTCTCTCACAAATAATGGGGAAGAGTCATTGTAAGCAATAGCCCCAGGGCACTGTCCCCACGCGCATACTTCTAGCCACAGAATAAAGTAAATGTTGCCTGAGCTTGGTCCCCGAGCTGTGAATGAGGTACAGGGGCTGGATTTCCTGGTGCCCGTTGTGGTAGAGGGGGAGTGAGGGGCTACGTGAAAAGGCCAGCTTCTTGCTTGACAAAGGGTTCGTTGTGGGGATGTAATGCTCTGTGCAGAGATTTTTACTATTTCTGGGGAGAAAAACAGACAAAGAAACAAGAAAAAGCCCTGAAGAACCATGAAGATCGGTAATTGTATTTCTTTTCTTTCACAGTATGCATTAGAAAAAAAAAGATCCCATTTTCTGGAATACTGTCCTCTTTAAATTGGGAATGAGCACTGCATGGAAATTAACCGGCTCGAAGAATGTAAAACATGGTCATAAGGGAGTAACCAACAAGAACAGCAGCCACCACCGAAAGCCCCCTTGTCAGGAGCACTGTGCAGGCATAAGCCAGGATTAGACTTTCCTAACTGCTGAAACACGCAGATTCGGCACATTCAGACACGTTGTGCTCAGCGGAGGGGTCACCTCCTTAACGGGGGATTGTGCCGCTGACCTGCCGCCACGGTGTGTTTGTTGGTTTGTGTTTTTTTAAGTTAGTACTTCATGACTCCCACTCTCAGAGCAGGTCACTCATACCAAGAGCCAGAGAGATTTCTCTGAGATACGGATGACAGTGTACAGTGTACAGGACATCTGCCTATTTCTCCCACTAAAGTTTAATACACTGCTCAACGCCTGTCCTAGCTCCTCCTGCCATGTGTAAATGTACAGTCAAAGGGACTAGGATGTTCACTGAGCTCTGCACAGCTTAGGTACCGTCTCCAGCCTCACACTACCTAGGCTGCCTGAGCAGGACACTGTTTGCCAGTAAGCTCCGCATTGCCATGCTGCCCCACAGCCATAAGGCTCATTAACAGCATTCTTCCACATGCAGTTGTTTTCAAAATTAAAGATGCTTTTTTTCCTAAACGTTTTTCTGTTCCCTGGAAGCCCTGGGCCAAGCCCGGTGCGGCTTGGTCCTTGGAGGAGCGAACGTGTTGCACTGAGGTCTCCACAGCCCGCCAACGCCTGCAGAGTGGTGCAGTCACACAGCAGACCCCAAACGGAGCTCCTCAGAGAAAAGTAATAACTAAGTATTTATGACAAGTACAGTCACCTTTGAATTTTGGAGACTAGCACAGATGGCTTTGAAGAACCTCACAAAACTGACAAGGTTACAACTGGAGAAAGACCCAGACAGGTTAGGAATATACAGGGTACTGTGAACTGTTGGGTACGTACACTTAACATCTGCCATTGTCTCAGAGTCAAACACATTATAAGAACCCTGCAAAAAGACTATTTTAAACTGCTGTTGCCCTGACACGTATGTTTAGAGCTGATTGTTTTTGAGTTCCAAAATATTTGTGTTGCGAGAGACGGAAGTTTTTCAAGAGAGAAGTAACATAGAGGAATGGAAACGCTAACAGGGCACGGGGGCAGGCGCCCCACCAGCAACATGTTTCCATTCATACATGGAAGTAATTTTGGGATGCAGTCAGTGCTGTCCGTAAGAGCTGGAAAAAAGAAACACCCACAAAACAATTGTTTAGTACTGAAGCTAAGCACAGTACATCTTAATCTTCTCCTCAACCACAAGCCAAGGCACTGCTCCCCCCCGCCCTGATCTGTCAGAAACTCCTGGTTAACCTCAAACTTGCAAATTACTGAACACACATTGTTCTGCTGAAATAGCAGGAATGCTTAAATCCTTCCACAGCGAGTTACTAAAATCTTAAAAGTTCCAGTGCCAATACCTTCTGGAGTTGTTGCTTAGTTTCCTGAGCCAGTATGAAAAGAAATGCAGGACAAAGTCTCGTTACAGTAGATCCCCCACCCCGCCTCTTTCCCTGTCTCCTTCCCCCGCAACTGTCAACAACTGGACCTAAACGTGACCCTCCCCTAAAAAGGTTTGGGGGTAGGTTTTAAGATCCAGGCTCAGTTCAGTTCTGTTACTTCAGTTTGTGTTTCTGTTATTTATAAACTGTACATTTATCTATGTGTGTGTGAGTGTGTGCGCGCGCACACGTATGCGTGAGTGAGCGCGAGGGAGCCAGCGAGAGCGTGTGAGCACGCGCGAGCCCCGCGTGGCCAGGTTACCCGACGTGGCCTCGGACCTGGTATCTGGCGTAGCAATACCAGAGGCAATCCCAAGAGGTGCTTGCAGCACCAGAGCAAAGCAACCACTGTCCGTAATGTTTCGTGATCGGCTCCATTTTCTTTTTAGTTCTTGCGCTTTCTACAGTAAGAGGCTGTTCTAGTGCAAACTCGTCAAAGTGTAAACAAAACAAACAGATTTTTATCTTAATACAAGTCTTAATATTTTTTTTGTAAATGTTTTCAGTGTTTACTGTAACGTATCTATCTCACTAACAGTTGTATATAGTAACTTACTTCTGGTGCTGCTTATTCGGTCAGGATTTGGTTGTATCTCACTGCTGTTTTGGAGAGGTGGACTCAAGCTAGCAAATCTGGATCCAGACGCAGGTTATGATTTCAGCCTCTTCGCTTTGGGGATCTGAGGGAAGAGAGAAGACAGGGATCCAGATTTGAGGGTTGGTCCATCTCAAGGATTCTGTTTTAAGAGTTTTGATTTGGGGTTTTGTTAAACTGTAGTGAACACTTCTGAAAAATGAGCAGAGTTTTGTGTGAAGGGGGATGAAATGGACTGAACAGTAGCCCAAGGTCTCTGCAGACTGTAAGTATATCATTTTGGGCAGGGATTATGGCTTCAGTGCCAAAAGATTGGAGGGACCCAAGTCCTTCCCCATGCCAACTAATACTACAGTGTAGTCACCAGCCCCTCACCACTTTAAGCAAATCCTGCCGCCATCCAAAGAGTCCTGTGTCCCTCTGCATTGTCATTTGAGTCTGGTTGGTTTTGTTTTCTGCTTCTGCAGTTGTAAAGCACTGATTGCACTGTGAGAACATGCTGAATCCTCTGGCCTGGCAGCCAGCCCCGTAGGTTACTGCAGGGTGCAGGACACAGGTTCTGCTACTACAAATATTCCTAAAGGGAGAAGGGACTTGGTGGACCTGAGAGAGGCATCACAGGCTCTCCTAGGAAAGCAATCAGCAACTAATCAATCATTTCCAAAGTTAGAGCACTCATAGGCTTTTCCCTGTTACTAATGTCCATACCCAGATGCAGTAGAAAACATACTGAGGTCTGTTCTGTGATGAACAAGGAGAGGATTTTTAGTCACAGGAGACAGAAGATGCTCTGATGCATTCGGCCAGGACAGCCACAAGGTGTGGCTCACGGATTTGATCTGCAAGGGGCTCATTTCCCCCAGCGATCCCAGGGCAGGGGTAGCAGCCCCTGGGAGATGCCTTTCTGAAAGCAGCGCCTATGACCAGCGGTGCCCAGCAGCTCCACCAAGGTCACTGCCCTGTCCGTAACCCGTAGCTTTGCCTGGAGAGCGTGAAGCAGAAAGTCCAAAGTGAACAGCTGTGACACTGTCCCTGGGGCGGGCGGGAGGGCTCCCGTTGCAGCACTCCGTCCTTCCCGCCCGCAGTCACTGTAGGGGTCAACCTCCTTCCCAAAGGTTTGCGTTCAAAGCAATCCAGGCCTCCAGCCTGGCCACTGGGACCTGACGTGGGTCAGAGCGCACGGCCTTGTGGCCAGCAGGAGATCCTTCAGCTGGCCACAGAAGGGACGCTGCCCATCTCCAAGTAGGTCTCTGACTCTTCAGGGCAATTCCAGAGGAGACTGCTCGGTCACAAGGCTTGGACATGTGGCACCTGCCCTGCTGGTGAGAACTGCCAGGCCCTGCTCTAACCCTGCACAGATAACTGTTGCCTTTTTTCTTTTCCCTTGGGGAAAATTACACATGGGGGGGTGGGAGAGGGAGGATGGCAGCAGCATGCTAATATGCAGCTGATGGGCTTTACAAACCAAATCCAATCTCGAGGGTGTTGCACAACATTCAGAAACAACCACGCTTTGAAAAAGGGTGTCACGTTCAAGCATTGACTTTCACAGATCACCTGAGCTGTGACAT